GGTCTCTTCAGGTCTCTTCAGGTCTATCAGGTCTCTTCAGATCTATCAAGTCTCTTCAGGTCTATCAGGTCTCTTCAGGTTTTTCTCCACGATCTTGGTCCATCCGATCTATCAGGTCCATCAGGTCTATCTGGTTTCTTCAGGTCTATCAGGTCTCTTCAGGTCTATCAGGTCTCTTCAGGTCTTTCTCCACGGTCTTGGTCCATCCGATCTATCAGGTCCATCAGGTCTATCTGGTCTCTTCAGGTCTATCAGGTCTCCTCAGGTCTATCAGGTCTCTTCAGATCTATCAGGTCTCTTCAGATCTATCAGGTCTCTTCAGATCTATCAGGTCCATCAGGTCTCCTCAGGTCTATCAGGTCTCCTCAGGTCTATCAGGTCTCTTCAGGTCTATCAAGTCTCTTCAGATCTATCAGGTCTCTTCAGGTCTCTTCAGGTCTATCAGGTCTCTTCAGATCTATCAAGTCTCTTCAGGTCTATCAGGTCTCTTCAGGTTTTTCTCCACGATCTTGGCCATCCGATCTATCAGGTCCATCAGGTCTATCTGGTCTCTTCAGGTCTATCAGGTCTCTTCAGGTCTATCAGGTCTCTTCAGATCTATCAGGTCTCTTCAGGTCTATCAGGTCTCTTCAGGTCTATCAGGTCTCTTCAGATATATCAGGTCTATCAGGTCTCTTCAGGTCTATCAGGTCTATCAGGTCTCTTCAGGTCTATCAGGTCTATCAGGTCTCTTCAGATCTATCTGGTCTCTTCAGGTCTCTCTCCATGGTCTTGGTCCATCTAACCTGGACTTTCTGTCCAATCATCTGCAGCTTCCTGAGGTTGGTCCTGCTTCTGTCCAACAATCTTTAAATCAAACCTCGGTTGGTCTGAGGTCTGGACTTTGACTGGGCCAGTCCAGGACTTTAAACTGATTCCTCTTAAACCAGAGGAGGGTTTTAGGGTCTTTGTCCTGCTGGGAGGTGGACCTCAGTYTCAGATCTCAGGATCTCTCTGTCCTTCATCTCTTAGTCTCTGTTAGTTCAAACCATGATGCTGCCTCCACCGTGCTTCACTGTGAGGCTGGTGTTCCCTGAAGTCCAGCTGARCGGACTCTGGTGGTCTTAAGATGGATCCTTCATCAGGACTCTCTCTGTCCTCCTGGATGTCTCTGATTAATGTCCTCCTTACCTGCTCTGTGGGTTTCATGTCTGACCTGAGTGGAGAGTTCMTTGGTYWTCATGATGCCTCTTGTTTTGTTGTTAAAGTCCAGGTTTTGAGGGACCAGGTTCTGGTTTGAGACCAGCTGATCTGTAAAAACTCTTCTTTTCCTCTAAAACTCTTTAAYTTTCTGTGTTTCTGCTGCTTCTAACATCTGCTGCAGCTTCAGACGTAGTGAGCTTCTCTGACCACAAGATGGTGCTGTAGATCTCCAGACTGGGCCAGAACCAGGGTCCAGGTTCAGACTATTCTTTTATTTAATATAGCRTGATGACAGATGACAGCTGAAGAAACAAAAACAGCTAAAGTTCGGTCAGTTTCACAGATTTTGAGCTGAAAAGTAAGAACAGAGACCATGTGAGTCCAGGATTATGGATCTACAGTCCAGTTCTCCTCCCAGCCCTCGATGCTCGTTAGCGCTCCGCTCCTTTTTTAGCTGCTTCCTGTAAAAGCTTTGATTGACTTTTAAACGCCGCGAGGCTCGGCCCGGTGGAAGCAGGCGTCGGTTCTGATGGTCTTCTTCTTCTCTTCCAGACGACGGTCCGACTCCCTTCAGCCACCAGGAGGACGGTGAGCGTTTTACTCATCAGATGAATAAAGTCCTGACAAGTGTTTCCTGTTTGTTTGTATTTATTCTGTTTGTTTATATTTATATTGTTTGTTTATTTTTATTCTGTTTGTTTATTTTTATTCTGTTTGTTTTCTTGTTTGTTTATATTTATTCTGTTTGTTTATATTTATTCTGTTTGTTTTCCTGTTTGTTTAT